CACACACACACACACACACACACACACTCACACACACACACACACACGTGCACGGGCGTACGCATAAACGCAAGAGGGAGAGAAAGCCCAGGCCCGCACCAGAGCGCCTCTTGAAGACGCCAAGGATGAGGATAGGGCGTGAGGCTCGTAAGAAGCCCAAGGAGCATGAGGTTTTATGAGCGCGGAGGGAGCACTCGAGGCCTAACGACTCGCCATGAGATACGACGGCGAGGCATGAGGTGCTGGATGAGGAAGGAGTTAGAGGCTCGAGGTGGTGCGGAGGGCGGGGGAGGGGGGCCCATGGAGAGGCGCGGCGGTGATTCGCATCAGTGTATATATCAGAGCGAGACTCTCCCGGGGCTCTTTGTGCCACGCAAATGAATGAAGAATCAATAGGTGTTCAAGCACGGAGCTGACCAGGTGGAGTGAGCCTCGCGATGTCTTTGTTCCAAGTGTCGTCCCCGCCCCCTTTCTCCGCTCTCTCGCCTGTCCTTCCTCCTTGCCAGCGCCGCCCTTGCCATTTTCTCCTCCTCCTCCCTCTTTGCTCCTTTCTCTTTTCTTAATACCCATTTCCTCTTTCCCTTCCCCGTCCCCCTCCCTCTCCCCTTCCCCTTCCCCTTCCCTCCTTTTCCTCCCCTTCTCTTCCTCTTCCCCTTCCCTGTGTGCTGTGTGTGGGGCAGCGGTTATCGTGTTGGTCTAGCAATCTTTCTGACCTGCATTCGGTCCCGAGCGGATGGTCACCCCGGCCATTCCTTGTACACAGAGGGACATTTAGAAGGAAAATAAAAGAGACGGTATATCACAGCAAAGAATATCCATTGAAACAAATAGAATATAAATAAATCTTCTTTGAAATCTTCATCCATCTCCTCCTTCCTCTCCCCTTTCCCTTTTTCCTTCCTCACCTCCCTGCTCTCTCGCATCTTTTTTAGTGGGCTTCTTAGCCCCGCGTTTCCTTTGACAGACATTTTTCTTTTTGTAGCTTCATGTCCTTGCTCATCGCTGTTCCTTTTATCCTTTAGTTATTGTATTGTCGCGTAGTCCCAAGCACTTTCCTTAGCCTAAGTAAGATTTAGTCTTTATGGGAAAGAAGGAAAGAGAGAAAGGAAAGAAGGGGAGGAAGGAAATAGAGAAATGAAAGAAGGGGAGGAAGGAAAAAGAGAAATGAAAGAAGGAGAGGAAGGAAATAGAGAAAGGAAAGAAGTAAGTGGGCAGGCCGGCCGGCTGGTTGACGTCAGACCGCGCCTAGAAACGAGGAAATCACCTCGTGTGGATCTCCGTCGTTAGGAAAGAAGCTGTGTATGGGAGGCCTTCCAGCGGCGGCGGTGGCCGGGGCGTCGTTGAGGGGGCCTTAGGGGCGGTATGGGATCTGGATCGCCTACGCTGCGGCGGCGTTTACGGCCGAGTAAAACCTTTCGCTAGCTTAGGTTTGCGCGCGCACACACACACACACACATATATATTCACACACACACACACAAAAGAGAGAGAAAAAGAGAGAGAGAGGGGGAGGGGGAGAGGGAGAGGGTGACCGTATAAACAAACACCTTTAAATATTAAGAAAAAGAAAGAAGAGAAAGGGATGCCGTAGACAGAAGGAACCCAAAAAAAGTTGCCTCGCGAATTCTCTTGTTCGCCACCTTCGCAAGAAGCAAGAGCCAGCGCGCGCGAGCCAGCAAAACGTGTCTCCGGAAGAGGGCTAAGATCCGAGAATCCGGCCGACGCATACGAACGCATTGTTTACAAGTACCATTTGAAAGTACTATATACATGCAGCCATTATGCCAGCGCGCCTTGCATGCTGCTCGCATATACTAGATTCTGGCCTTACTTTGCAACATAGGATACGTGAATAGCGAGAGATATTAGGAGAGAAGAGGGTGGGAGAGGAGGGAAGGCGAGGAGGTAGGAGAGGAAAGAAGAGGCAAGTGGGGAGGTTAGTGGTGAAAGAAGGAGAGAGATAGATGGAATAAGTGAGAAGGAAGTATGTGTGCGTGTGCGTGTGCGTGAGTGCGTGTGTGCGTGAGTGTGAGAGTGTGAGTGAGAGTGTGAGTGAGAGTGAGAGTGAGAGTGAGAGTGAGAGTGAGTGAGAGAGAGAGAGGAAATGGAATTGAGTCGACTACTACAGAGTCGTTTTTTCCGGTTATCAAATGCATTTGGATTCAACAGGGAGCCCCGGCGTATTAGGCCACGAGAAAAAGAAATAAAAAAGAAAAAGCACCATTATAGGCTTAGAGACAAAGAGCGATCGAGACTCAGTACGATAGAAAGAATAGAAAAACGTGAAATTTAAACCGTAATTGGAGAGTATTCTGCAGTGCGGCTGTGTTGTGTGCGTGTGAGGCGGGCGAGGGGATGGGGCGAGGAATTGCGGAAGGATAACTGGCGAGTAAAAGTATGAGGTATGCTGAGAAACGAAAAATTAGTGCAGGGCAAGCTCTTTGGAGTTGCGTTGTTTGAGGAAGAAAATTAAGGTGTTGTGATATTAACAACAAAATTATCCTCGAAAGTTTTATGGCTAGAGATGAATGTTGAGAGAGTACGCTCATTTTTCTTTTCTTTTCCGAGGGAAGCTTTTGGTTTCATCCAGTTGGTCATTATTTAGAACACAGTCGCTTTCCCGCGCGGGCGACGATCCCTTTTGACGGTTATCGAACAGACACATTTAAAAAGGAGACATTTTCGTTTTCCTTTTCGTCTTGACGCTGTCGCCGTTTGTCTTGCTCTGCGTCGAAGTTTCTGTTTGTCCTATATTTTTTATTTTTCAAGTTGCAGGGCGTTTTCGATTTTTATTGTTTACTGCCGCGGGAGTGTTACTTTTTCGGGGGTTTACATGTATTTAGATTACCGGGGATTCGGAGTGATCAGGAAAAGAAAGAAAACGGAAGGAGAAAGGAATTGGACACAAATTTTTCCTACTCAGACCAAGATGAAACTATGATAGTGATTATTTATCTGATTTGAACATTAGGTTGTGATGGGGGCAAGACCAAGATGGGCCGGGAATAGGGGCACGGGGATGATGGCAGCGAAGGGGCGGACGGGGGTTAAAGGAGAGAGACGGAGGGGAGGGAGGGGAGAGGGGGCGAGGGGGACACACGCCGCGTCGCAGAGGTTGAAATAAAATGAAATCTGAGCGACCTCGCCGATGGGACCTTAATTGACGTCCTAATTGTTCTTTCCGCCGGAGGATCCTATCTGGCTTGTCCCATTGTGCTGGGCCCACTCCCCCCCCCCCCATCGCCTTCGTCTTCTCCTCCCTTCCTTCTCCGCCTCTTCATTGCCAGCCATCCTCCTCGTCGTCCTGTCTCCAGCTCCTCGTTCCCGCCCACTCACCGTATCGCCGTTCTTCTATTCCATCAACTCTCCTTTTACTCTTTCCCTCCTTCTCCTCCGTCTTATTCCTTTCACCTCTCGTCTTATTTTTCTCCCCTCTGTCTTCTACACCCCCTTCCCCTATACTGCGCCTTCCTCCTCTTCTTACTTGAACTCCTTCTCCTCTTCCTCCTCCTACTCCTTGTTCGCCTTTTCTTCTTCCTCTTCCTCCTCCTCCTCTTCTTCTTCTCTTCTTCTTTCTTCTCTCCTCCTCCTCCTCTCCTCCCTCCTCGTCCTCTACCTCGTCCTCTACCTCCTCTACCTCCTCCTCTACCTCCTCTACCCCCTCTACCCCCTCTTCCATCTAGCCCTTCCCCCGCTGCACCCCCGTCCCTGCCTCTGGCTCCTGTGCTCCCTTCCCTGTCCATGGAGCAGGGAGGAGCGCGAAGGGCAGTGCCCATATGGCCCAAAGGTAAGGGAACGAGGGGGTGGGATGCCTAACCAGACGGGGTCCTTCGCCTCAAGGAGTGAACAGGAAGGAGAGGGGGATAGGAGCCGATAGTAGGATAGACACTCTCCACATTTCCTTGCTGGTGGCCTGGTGGTAAAGGAAATTGGCCATGGTTCTTCTTTGTCTCCGTCGAGAAGGTTTTACTCTGAAGTATCGACGTTGTGAGTCATTTGCCATTCTTCCCCCGGAAATGTGTGTTTCTTGATGAGATTAATTTAATTTGGTTGAATATCATCGTGTCATACATTGTGGCATCTAGAGTGTATCGTTTTATTGCATAATTCGAATTTGATTAATTTAACCTCATTATGATAGTCTCACATATGACTTTTACTTCAGACTTTTTCCCTTCCTTTTACGAGAGGAGTTGTATGCCCTTCAGGAAGGATCCTCCTTTGCCATTGCCAGATGACGTAAGAAAAGTGATATAAACTTTCCAGGTTTTCTTATGACTAACGATTCCCTTCCGTGCTTCCAGCCCGCGAGCTTCGTTGCGCTGCGGGAATGGTGTTCTGACGACGAAACCTTGACGGAGGTGTCGCTGGCGCCGGTGTCCCCGTCAGCGCCCGCGACCGTAGTGACCCGCCAGCAGGAGCCCGCGCCGCACAAGCTGCCGTCGCCCGAGCAACGAGTCCTCGCCCTCTCCCTCAAGTACCCGCCTGAACTCGTCCCCATCGATGTCTCCGGCTCCAGCTTCAAGCGCCTCGAGAAGTTCCGCCAGTCGTTGATCCACGTGAGTTGGATCCTTGTGCTCTGTTGCGTCGGCTTTAAGATAAGTTGATTGGCTGGAAAGTTTTCATTACTATTTTTGTCCTCTTTTTCTTCAGTTCTCCTTGCCTGTAGGATATCCATCCGTGGGCGTTGAAAGGTTGATTCTCTCGCTCATTTTTTTCTACATTAATTAACTAGATTAATGTCAGTATCAACTCTCATCGTCCTTTGTGTCGTCCCTAACTCTTTTACTCTCATTCATTTAATTAACCCGAGAGACAGATGTGTTAAATATTCCCTCTAATTCATTCACGGCCCAGTCTCTTGCATTTCCCCCAGTCTGCTCAGTCACAGGCTGCCTCCCACCCCCACACGGGGCCCTCCATCCCGCCTGCTCTTTCGACCCATGTCCTCCGTCCGTCACAAAAATGGTCACTCACTCGCTCGCCCTTTCAGTTCGAGT